TAGAGAAAAAAATTGGGGGATATTAGAAAAACTGACTGTACAACACTAGTAGTAAGGAACATACAAAATAAAATTACAATGAACTATTTCATAATGACCACATTGGCAAAAGTGTCACAGTGTCAATTCCTGGAAAGATGTAGAGCAATGGGAATATTCATACAATGTTATTGTAAGTGGCTATACTTAGCATAATTAGGCAATATCTAGTAAAGATGAGGATGTGAATACTCCAGCAGTTCCACTTAAACCTCTACAGAGTTGTTCATGTTTCATGGACATGTACATGAAGGCCTATTGCAACAATTCATCATAGATAAGTCTCCAAAATAGTATTAATAAAAACTGAACTAGAGAATATTTTGTGTAATATAGTTATTTATATAAAGCTTGAAAATATGCAAATTTATGTTTTGTGTATTTTCTATGGCTAAATACTATATAGGAAGAAGATAAAGACATTCATGAAAATAACTATAAAATCCATAACGGTGGTGATCTCTGGAGGGGAAGAAAAATGAGATTGAGGAAAGGATGCTTAGGGAAAATATTTCTCTAAAAAATAAGGATAGCTAATTCTTTCTATTAGATAACGCTGGTTGTGAGTGTATGGGCGATTCTTATTCTCTGTATCTTTCTATTATTTTATAATAAAAAATATTTAAATGATGTCTGCTTTGTCACTAAGATCCTTACAGTTCCCCGCATATGTTACTGGTGTCCCCGTATTTACCATTTTACTCCCCCAAAAAACTCAATTATAATCAATGTTCAGAGGCAACTACTCTTAACAATTTAGACCTCCTACCTTTGAGTGTCTTGAGACTTTGTTTCTTTATTTGAATCAGGGTTACACTATGTAACTCGGGCTGGCATCAAACTCATGGCAATCCTCCTGCATCAGCCTCCTGAGTGCTGAGATTACATGTGTGAGCCACCATGACTGGCTTTGAGACTTTTTTTATACTAAAAGTTTTTATCAGCCTACTTAGTTTCTCCGTCATCCTGAAGTTTACAGGGCCTCATTCTTTATGCACCATGATTTATTAATTTCCTGTTGGTGCCAGGGATTTAGCTCAGTGGTGCCACTACCTGCCTCACAAGCACAGGTCCCCGAGTTCAATCCCCAGTACAAAAAAAATTATTAATTTCCTGTTGGTGCCAGGGATTTAGCTCAGTGGTGCCACTACCTGCCTCACAAGCACAGGTTCCCGAGTTCAATCCCCAGTACAAAAAAAATTTTTTTTCTTTTTATTGAGGTTATTGGTACAATCTAGGTATACAATACAATCGCATTCATCATTGGGATTCTGTACCTTTACATAATAGGTCTTGATTCTCATTTTTCCCCTTGTCCCTCCCCTCTCTTCACCCCCTCCTCCCCTCCCCATTTACAAAC